CCAGGAAAGGATGACTTCACCCATTGGTGCTGCCACCCAGCCTAGCGAATAGAGGCTTGTCCTCAGACCCTTCTGTGACCCTTGAGCAAGTTGGTGCATTTTCCTGAGCCTTGGGCCTCTCCTCCTGTTTTGAGATTATGCAATTTAAGAGAGGTGCTCAATAACTGCCACTCATTGGTAGCACACTCTCTCTGTCTCTTTGGAAGGGAAAGTTTAGGAGACACAGAGGGGATAAAGATTTGGCTCCACCTGCTTGATGCTCATAGCCTGATGGGGAAGACAGGTGCTCACACTGTGAAGATAACACAAAGGAGGTTGATAATAGAATCACCAGAATCCAAAGTGGAGGGGGGGCTCTGAGAAGGGGGGCATTATTTGCAGCTAGAGATGATGATGACGATTTTGGTGTTGCTAATAATTATCATTGGAATAATAACGATGCAATGAAAATAGCCAAGGTTAACTAATGAGTGCCTTCTATGGGCCAGGCCCTGTGCAAAGAACTTCCTCCGCTGTGCCTCTAGTCCAGGGGTGGGCAAACTTTTTGACTCGAGGGCCACAATGGGTTCTTAAACTGGACCGGAGGGCCGGAACAAAAGCATGGATGGAGTGTTTGTGTGAGCTAATATAAATTCAAAGTAAACATCATTACATAAAAGGGTACGGTCTTTTTTTTTTTTTTAGTTTTATTCATTTCAAATGGGCCGGATCCGGCCCACGGGCCGTAGTTTGCCCACGGCTGCTCTAGTCCTTCAGACAACCCTGTTAGGTGGACAGCATTATTCCATGTTACAGGTGTGTGGTCCTGAGTGGGTCCATGGAGCACATCACCTGTACGCTGAGCTTAGCGTGGAGGCTTGGGTTTTGGAAAGCTGAGACTCAGGAAAAGAGATTGTGGGGCAGAGGAGGGTAAATGGTGGACATGCTCAGGGAATGGGCGTAATTGGGGAAAACCAGAGGTTCTCAGGTGAGGAAATAATGAGAACTTGAGTGGGAGGGTGTGGGAGGAAGAAAAAGGTTGGATGGTGGGGATGAGACACTGAAAGCCGAGAGTGAGGGAGCCACCCAGAGGCCGACTGTCAGTTCAGGTGTTGCCCAGGAGCAGAAAATAGGAGACCAGGACTTGGAGGGGAGTGCCAGCCAGGACTGTGCTGAGCTGCCTTCTTTAATGCTACTGCATCCCTGGGCTCACACTGAGACTCAGAGAGGTAAAGCAGCCATGGACATAGCTCTGGCCATCCGACTTCAATAGTATTGCCTTATAAATTAACAAACACACAGAGTTTTTGTATGTGGATTGATGTTTTCTGGGCTAATGATGATTTTTAAAAATTACCAATTTATCTTGTACACTCAGGGCCAACCTTCCCACAGTGGCAAAATGGAAAGGTATGTGGCCGTGAGCAGGTCCTTGTCCTTTTCTCATCCTCAGTCCCTGTAGACTCTCGTGGTCCTGCTCAATTTGACCTGTGATTTCTCCTCCACCCATTGACTGAAAGGAATACACAGGATCTCAAAGAGATGGGAGGAAGCAGGTGGATACCCACATGAACTCCTGTCCCCAAGATTTTTCCCTGATGCTTTTGGGAGACACCCAGCAAGGCTCTGAATTGGTGGGAAGACCTTAGCAAGTAGAGGAAGACTTTCAGTCCCAGAGCTCTTTTCCTTTGGGTGAGTCCCCCCAAAAGAGATGGAGAGAAGAGAGGCTAGTGAGGCTAGGAGCCAGGATGGCTACTGTGGGTTCTTTCTCTTTTGGGAAACAGAGGCTTCTCAAAGTATGAAAAAAAGAAAACCCACAGACAAGCAAGGGAATAACTCCAACATCCCACATCTCTGCCTTGGGCCAGAATGAATGCCACCCCCTAAAAAGATTGCTTCTGCAATTACAACTGAATAAACAACCAATTAAAATGTCTCCCCTAGCCCTCCCCCCTCTACCCCCTCTCTCTCTGAAGCTTTCTCAGCCTAGAGCCATGGGGCGAAGAGGTGACTTTCTCTAATAACATTTGTGTTCTCTGCCAGAGAGAACACTTGATGGAAGTGGACAAATCAATTATAAAATAATAAATAATGTGGAAAGGGCTGATCCAAGAAAACCTCAGCTTCTCTGTGTTTTCATTCTCCTCCCACACACTGTTTCCCTCTCCACCGTGGCCCGCAGTACCCTTGGAAGTGAGGGCGAGGCTGTGGGAAGTGTTGGGCACATCTAGAGTTGCCCTTGGCCTTGTCACTCTGTGATCTCCAAACCCCTGTTACTTCATCTTTAAGATGGGGGTAAATAATGGGAATAGCTAAACACTTACTTCTACATGCCAGGTATTCTAAGCCCTTTACACTTTCTTTTTAATGTCCCAAATCCTCTGAACAACTCTATGAGATAGGTACTATTATTGTTTTTGTGTTTTGTGAATAAAGGAACTGGTGTTCAGGGAGTCAAGTAAATTGCTCAGTTAAGATAATTGACCCAAATGTCAAGTGGAAGAGCTGGATTCATAGCCAGGGCTCTGGCTTGGGACGGAGCCATCTTGCCCACTCTGTGGCATCACATGTGCACAGAGATGGAACAGCATGTGGAGCTGGCATACAGCAAGTGCTTAATAAGTGTTGGTTTTCCTTCTTTGATCACAGAACAGCCTGGTTTGAACTCCTTATGAGGTTTCCAGGCCAAGAAGCTGAGGATGGGACCTTGGGAGGAAAAGGGCACAATAGCAAGGCTTTGCGTCAATATCTGAACTTGTGTGGCTGTCTTTGAAATTGGTCACCTCAACCATGTTCAGGCCCACGTAGATGCAACCTCTCCTGGCCCTGCCTGTGTCTACAATTCAAGTTAACCAGTTATTTGAAAAGCTGTAAAGATTATGGTTACATGAGTATTTGGTTTTATGAACTCTTGATGATGTGGGTAGACAGGAGGGCACTCGAGATCTCGACATCTCTTATTCCCATCGGAGTAGAGGTGTAAGGTCATGACCCACAGAAATGCTCTGTGAAGCATCCAGTGTATTGATATGGAAACGGGGGTCTCATAGCAAGGAAGTGCTGAAACAGGCTGTGACCTAAATATTTTGGCTGTTTTCTTTCCCAGTGTGAATTCAACTCCAACCATACGTACTGAGTGCTTCTCAGGTGTCAAGTCCTGTGCTGAGGACTCAGTAAACAGAGATGAGTAAGGTGCATCCCCTGCCCTCCAGGGAGCCACAAAGAGTGGCAGATATAGACAGTGGTAGTGATTATTTGGAATGGTGTTAGAGTGCCTACAAATAGGAGGTGGATGAGTACAAAGATGGTAAAGAAGGTGGGGGTGATGTGGAAATCAGGGAGGTCTTCCTGGAGGAGAGGTCCCAGAATGGACTTTGGATTTGATCATCAGAGTCCCTGTTAGAGGGAACGGCATGAGTAAAGGCACTGGGGCTGATGCTTCATGGTGGGTGATGCCAGTGCACAGTGGGGGATTCAAGAGAGGGGACGGAGAGAGATGAGGCCAGAAGTGGAGACTGGTTCTTGCAGGCCATGCTGGGAGCTTGGACTTTACTCTCATATTGGAAGGCCCTTCCATGACAAGGGAACCATCATTATGTGCTCTACATGCCAGGCCCTGTGCCAACCCCCTAGGAGAGACAACATTGTGAAAAAGGAAAACACTTTTAACTGACTGTGTGACCTTAGCAAGATATGAAGGTCCTTTAAGCCTCTATCTTCTCCTCTGGAAAACGGGGATAATGCTGCCCACCTCAGTATAAATAAGTCGATGAAAGGAGATAATCCATGTAAAGTCAGGCCAACAAACATCAAATATCATTATTCCTGGACTTTATCTCGCCTCCTACATCAAGCTGCCTGCCTGCTTATTTATTTATGTTTTTATTCATTTATTTATCAGTGAATCACTGGATTCATTTCCAGCCTTCCTCAAGAAGTGATTATCAGCTGCTCACAAGATCCCTAAAATACATGACGACAAATATAACGTAGGAGCTGGAAGAGGCACTGTGAGCAGAGAGCAGGATGCCTCTCTCTGTTCAGGGATGAGTGTGAATAACGTTCCTGTGGCTGATCCCCTGCTTTAGCCTTTCTGTCTTCATGGGAGAGTCTTCCTCTGCAAGGGAAGACATCTTAATACTGAGCACCTAGGATGTGCCGGTTTCTCTCCAAAGACCATTTCTTTCTCTCTCCAACATGTGTTTGTCCCAAGTATTAAAGAGTTGACAGTTGTACTATGGGGAATTAAGGGGAGTTAATTCACTTTCCAGATATGTCAGGCTAAGCAGCGACCTCAAATACAATATCCTTCTGTAGTCTATTGTACAGACAAAGACATAGAGGCTTGCAGAATGCAGAATCATGTGATACAGGAGATGGCATGATGCCCCAGTCAAAGGAGTATGGTTTTCCAAGCTAGTCAGAATTGACCCTGAAACCCAGTTCTGCAGCTTTGGACAACCTGTTTAATAACATTGGGCCACATGTTGCTTATCTTGAAAACCAAGCAACAGTGCCTCCTGGCAAGGTTGGTATAGAGATGCAAAGAAGGCTTCCTAGCACAGCTCCGTATACACCAAATGAATGGTCCAAGGTCCATAGTGAATGAGGAAAGAGAAAGAAGCCAAGACTAGAAAATATGTTCGCTCTTCCATGGTCTGTGTTCTTGATCTGTACGTACTCACATCGTGTGGCCCTGTCACTAGTCAGTATAGCTGAGTCCTTAGGGACACAGATGTGGACCTTAGATAAATCTCAGTTCTGAACTGAACTCTGCTATTTGTAAGCTGAGCAACCTTATCAAGCCTTACACGCTTAGGGATATAATTTTCTTATCTATAAAATGGGGCCATATCAGTTACCTTACAATATGTATTGAAAGAAGTCAATGAGGTGATGCCTATGAAGTGCTTAGCAAAGTGCCTGACACATAGTTGCTCTTACTGAATGAGCAGTACCTGTTATGCGAAGAGTCACGTTTTTGAATGGTGATGACAGCCAAGGTTCTTTTTCTATTACAGAGCGTACTTGGATGTTAATGAACTGAAGAACATTCTTAGACTGGATGGAACTACACACCTCAATATCTTCTTTGCAAACTCCTCGGAGGAGGAATTGGCAGGAGTAGCCACTTGGCCATGGGACAAGGAGGCCCTAATGCCCTTAGGTGAGAATTAGAAACGTCTCCAGGAGGGAGTTGGATTAGCACAGGAAGACATTTACTAGTGGTGACGGCGATCCTGATGGTGGTGGTGGTATGGGGAGGGTGAACAATTTACTTTTCACTTTTTAAATTTACAAAACTCTTGAGCATTCCTTATCTCTTGCCAACCGATAAGAAATGCTCTGAAGAAAATAATACAACAGTATTCACCCTGTTTACCAGTGAGGAAACTGAGAGTTAGAGAGGGAGTGGGGGCTTATCCAAGGTCACACACGTCAGTGGCAGAGCCATGTTTTGAATTCAGATTTATTAACTCCGTTCATCGGTTGCTTTCCGTGTCCCCTGCCTCTCTGCCTCTTCGTTCATGCAAATATCTCCTCAGCCTTGTAACCACATTGTGCTGGCACAGCCAAACATGGGTTGGCTTGAAAGCCACCAGAGAGGCAAGAGAAAGCGAGTTTGTAAGAACTCCTTGTTCCTTCATGTTCCACCCACCAACACCAGGAACTCTTCTTACATTCAAATTATGCATGTCCATAAACAAGATATATGTTTATACATATCAATACCAAAGTCAGAAATGACAATGGTTTCTGAACCGCGCACTGTGAGCAAACATTGGAGTTATTCGATTTTTTAAAATTTTTTCCCATGCTCTCTTCCAGTTCACAGATATACACAGACGTGCATTTTTAACTTGTGCATATTTGAAATCATAGCATAAATGCAATTTTGTGTTCTTTTTTTTCACAGAATGTTATGCTATCTACATTTTTCCATGTTGCAGCAATTTTCGTAATTACTTCCCACCCCACTTTTTCTCATTTAACATCACACACATCTTTCTGGGTAATTTCCATCTCTCTAAAGACGCCATTTGTAATGGCCACATGACACTCCATTGAATGAGGGCACTGCAGTGTCTTTAACCGTTTCCCTTTGGTGGAATGTTCCCATTATTTCCACCAGTGAGTAGTGATGACTCAGTGAGTGTCTTCATCAGAAAATGCCCAGTCTCAGCAGAGTGACTGTGCTGGATGTTTCCTCAGGCTGCCTGGTCTCCCAGGGATAGACCCACAGTCCAGTAGCTGCATCTACACTATCTTGGAGATGAAGGACTCTCTAACTTCAAATAATGACGTTGTGCTGAATTAAACTCTAGACTTAGTTTGCTCTAGACAGCTCTCATTTTCCAGTTGTTTTTAAGAGAATGAAACCACCGTGTGTGTGTGTGTGTGTGTGTGTGTGTATGATGATGTAAATAGAAATAGATAAAAAATAAATATTAGTGATTCTCAACTGGGGAGGGGTGGATTTTATCTCCTAGGAGACACTTGGCAATGTCTAGAGATATTTTTGGTTGTTAAAATGGGGGGATGCTACTGGCATCTAGTGGGTAGAGGCCAGTGATACTGCTAAATCTCCTGCAAAAGCCACAGAAAGGAATTATCTAGTCCCAAATGCAATAGTGTTGAGAAACCCTGAGGTTGGTGATGGGTAGACAGACAGGTGGATTCACAGACAGACAGAGAGGTATTGGGCAGAAGAGAGATTGGAACTTCGGCAAACTTGGGCATGATCAGCTTATACCACATGCTTCGTATGATGTCTGGGAATCGTGCTGGTCCAGAGCCAAAATCCATAGTTGTTCTCAGCAGGGAACAGATTCAGTAGTATGGCCTTAGGCAGGTCTCTTGCTTTTCCCAGATCTCAGTTTCTTCAGATTTTAAATGAACAGGTTAGGCTAGATGGTGGCCTCCAAGGACCCTTCTCAGTGCTGAAATTTTGTGCTATTGGAAAAGCAACGAAAAAGGCCATGAGCAGTCTTAAAAGGGTTGAACAGCAGACTTCTAAACTTAGAGAAAAGTACTCCTGATATTCCACGAATTTCAGAGACTGGCTCAGGACCAGGAGTACAGAAGGCTATAAATCCATAGCATGTTATAGTATTTCAGGATGATGTCAGGCTCCAGCTATTTCACCTTTTAAGAGAAGCAATGAAACAGGACTCGGGCCCTGTGCTATCGCTCTGTGCAAAGGGGTGTGCTGGCGGGAATGAGGTAGAACAAGCAGAGCCCACCTGGACAGTAAGTCTGCAATCCTGTCCTTATCCTTGAAAAATACCTGTGGGGTCCTCTTCCCATTACCTCAGTGTCGAAGTTCCTGGACACTATTATGGCTATTTCTTTTAGAACTCCCCAGAGAGGCAAGGTCACTTTCCCAAGATCATACAGCCAATATGAAGCAAACTGAGGATTGCAACCCATGTCAGGCTAACTCCAGCTGTCCTTCAGGCTGCCACCTCCCTGTTTTGAGAGAGATTGATTATAAGCAAGTTCTCTGAAGTAGCCCCAATCAAACCCCATTTATTAGAAATTATACACACACACACACTCCTGCTAGTTACACCATGATCCCTGGAAAAAGTCTTGGGTGGGAAGGGGATTATGTTTTGTATTATGATCGACATAAAATAATTGAGAGAGATTTCCTGTCTCAGTTTCTCTTCCTCCCTGCCTTTGCCTGCCCCTTCTCACATACACACATGCACACACCCCCATCCCCACAGCCTTCTCATACATCTTTATCTTTGGGTTTGAAGAAGGCCCTGAGCAGTTCAGAATTAATAGACCCCACCAGCCCCATGACTGAGCGAGCTCACCCTCCCGGCAGTTCAATCTGAGATAAATCTCCTGCTCGCCAGCACCAGGCCTGCCAGGACAGATCAAGGCTCTGCCCTCTCACCGTTCTTGCATAAGATGCTGCTCTGCACTTAAAGTTACTACTTAGAGGAAGCTCAGACCTGAATTTTAACCTTCCCTTAGACACACTCAGATAAAGTTTACATATCTTCCTGCTAGCCTGCATGGGTTTCTCCAGTGCCTGAAATGAACATAGAAGGATGCTGCCCATTGATTCTATGAGACCTTTCATTTGTCTCGCCAAGCAAAGCAATGCTGTCTTCTAAGACACACGGTGTGGACTATTGTTTCTCAAACTAGACCAGTGATAGCGAACCTTTTGAGCTCGGCGTGTCAGCATTTTGAAAAACCCTAACTTAACTCTGGTGCTGTGTCACATATAGAAATTTTTTGATATTTGCAACCATAGTAAAACAAAGACATATTTTTGATATTTATTTTATATATTTAAATGCCATTTAACAAAGAAAAATCAACCAAAAAAATGAGTTCGCGTGTCACCTCTGACACGCGTGTCATAGGGTCGCCATCACTGAAATAGACTATGCAGGCCAGTCACCTGGGGCTCTTGTTCACATTCAGATTCTGAAGCTGTAGGTTTGGGAGGGGCCTGAGATTTTGCATTTTTAATCACCTTCTAGGTGAGCCACACTTTGAGTAACAAGTAGTTAGACCAGTGGTGGCGAACCTTTTGAGCTCGGCATGTCAGCATTTTGAAAAACCCTAACTTAACTCTGGTGCCGTGTCACATATAGAAATTTTTTGATACTTGCAACCATAGTAAAACAAAGATTTATATTTTTGATATTTGTTTTATATATTTAAATGCCACTTTCCAAAAAAAATCAACCAAAAAAATGAGTTCACGTGTCACCTCTGACACGCGTGTCATAGGTTTGCCATCACTGAGTTAGACAGTGAGTAAGGCACTCATTGTTATGTCAGATGCTATACTAGCTGCTTACGTGTGATTAGACTTGGCAAAACTTCTTATGTGGGGTCAGCATTCAGCAAATATTAACACACATTTAAGGAGATGCCATATTGTGGTTCCTGAGGTAGGCATCCACTGTAGAACTCAGATAAAGAGCCCTCACTTTGGAGTCCAGGGATCATGGTTCAGATGTCAGCTCCACACTGACTAGCTCCTGACCATGGGTCAGTCGCTTCACTTCTCTGGGAATCAGTGCCTGTCTCATCTGGCTGGGAATGACTGTGATTAGACACAAGAAACACTCAGCAGCTGGCCTAAGGAGACATCATAATGCTCAAGAAAGATTGGCTTTATAGTCACTGTTATAATGACAAGTGCAACACAGTGCTCGCCTTCACGAACTTTCACTCACAGAGATGAGAGAGAAAAAGGAATGGGACTCAGAGATGGTCATTGACTTGCTCAAGGTCACAGAGTTAGTGCAGGCAGAATGAGCCATGAAACCAAGGGGTCTCACCTTGAGGGCTTCATTTAAGCAGAAGCACGTAGAATACTTATCAACCTGGGTGTGACTTACTTCCTAAGAATTTGTAGCAGAAATATTTACCAGCCCAGAAATCAGAGGCCGTGAATTTGAATCATGCAGTCTCTTTTAAGTAGTTGGAGATCACTGTGGGTAAGTTGCCTCACTTCTGTAGGCATTGGTGTTTCCATCTGGAAAATGAAGGGATTGCAAAAATGACTTTTGAGACTCCTTCCTACTGAATCAGTGATTCGTATTACAAGTCACAACAGCGCCCAGGGCAGTAGGAGGCATAGGGTGGAAAAGCCTGTGGGTACTTTGGGCAGCACCCCATTGATTGGGGGATTCCTAAATCAGGAAGCAAAGTGTCCAGCTTGCCTCATGCTCTGGTTTTCCCCTTGCAGGTGGCATCGTCCTGAACCCATCTGTCTATGGCATTCCTGGGCACACCCACACCATGATCCACGAGATCGGGCACAGCCTGGGCCTCTATCACATCTTTCGAGGCATCTCAGAAATACAGTCTTGCAGTGACCCCTGCATGGAGACCGAGCCCTCCTTTGAGACTGGAGACCTCTGCAGTGACACCAACCCAGCCCCCAAATACAAGTTCTGTGGTGACCCAGGGCCAGGAAACGACACCTGTGGCTTTCACAGCTTCTTCGACACTCCTTACAACAACTTCATGAGCTATGCAGGTAGGGCCCCACTCTCAGCGGGATGCCTGGGGCTGGGCAGCAGATAGGGGCTCCAGTCCTGACTCAGCGTATCTTTGAGCAAGCTGCTTACCGCTGCTAACACACCTTCCCGGCAATTCCTCATCCCAGGCCATCCGGATAATACTCCTTCTGGTGAACATTTCTACTGCAACTTCTTCCTTAGAAAGTAATTCACTCCCGGGTTTATAAGTATTCTATGTGCTTCTGCTTAAATGAAACCCTCCAAGGTCAGACCCCTTGGTTTCAGTGCTCAGTCTGCCTTCACTAACTCTATGACCTTGAGAACCTCAAGTGTCCATGGGTGATGCTGCATCTGAAAGCCCCTCAGGAAGACGCGCATTGGAAAGCCCGCGGGCTGGTACTCAGGACACCTGAGTAGAGGCCTGGCTCTGCCACTCACTCACCTGGTGCCTTTCAGCCCATCCCATCTCCTCTCTTTTCTCCAGAAAATGGGTTTCTTTAGACTCTGTCTCTAAGGTCCCTCTTTGTTTTCAGCTATATTTTTCTCAGCTCGTGGTTTTTGAACCTTAAAAAAAAAACCACCATAAAACTCTCACACCCTCCTTTACTATTTTATTAGCAAAAAAAGGAATGCTTTTAGTTTTGTAAGTACATAATGATTACATGAGATTGATACGTCCCTTTTCTAAGCCCTTTAGTAACAGTATTATGGATTCATTCCTTGGGTTCTAGGATGCCCGCACTTCCTTTTAGCATCTGTGAAGACCACCTCTAGCCCTTGTAACATCTTTAGCAAATTAGAACAAGGCACCCCCTTCCTCAGAGTATAACAGCCCTCACTGCTGGCCCCTTTAAGCAACAGCCCTATGTAAGGCAAGAGCTAAAAAATTACACAAATTCTATTATAATATTCTAGTTAGGGCCTCTTTTCCCACTAGAACAAGGGAATTCTGTGAAGGCGCAGATGGTCTCTAATCCATCACTGTATTCCTAGCACCCAGAACAGGGCCTGCATGCTTAATAAATGCTTGTTAGGAAGAAAGGGAGGGAGGGAGCCATGGACACAAGGAAGTGAATAAATCCTCTTATAATAGGCCTATAAAATTGATGCTTATCAATAACAGTATTTCTACTTATAGAAAAGGTTATTGTCCATAAAGGACTTTAGAGTAGATGCCATCTTATTTCATTCTCACCAAAAATCTAAGGGGTAGGAACTATTCACATTTTACAGATGACAGTTCTGGGATGCACTGACGTTATGTGCCCCAGGTCATACATCTGACTGCAAGCACTTCTTCCCTTCTACAATGGTGCCACTCTTCACCAGAGACCCAGATGATGGGAGAGAGGGGAACTGAGAAACCTGGGTGGTTTTCCACCCTGCTCCACAGAGAGGCGTCAGGGACTGCCCTGGGTGGGGCTCTAGGCCTCTATTTCCACTTGAACCTGGGAAGACCTCCAAGTGTGTTTCATTTCTGTTGGCGTTATGCTTTGGATTGCATGTAGAAAGATGACTTTGCTATTAACACGCAATGAGTTAGATGATCCCCAGGGGTCTTCCTATTTTCCCATTTGGGCTGATGACCTCTGGGGGTCTCAGGTTCGTACAGTCCAAACCTGAGGTCTCTCTAAGACAGCGGTTCTCAACCTGTGGGTCGTGACCCCTTTGGCGGTCGAAGGACCCTTTCACAGGGGTCTCCTAAGACCATCCTGCATATCAGATATTTACATTACGATTCATAACAGTAGCAACATTACAGTTATGACGTAGCAACAAAAATAACTTTATGGTTGGGTCACAGCATGAGGAACTGTATTTAAAGGGCCAGAAGGTTGAGAACCACTGCTCTAAGAGATAGTCCCCACCTGGGCACCATAAAGAGTCTTTAACTTTCGTTCTCTGAAAAGACCAGAGTGCTGGGTATTTCCTCAAAAGCAGATTCCCACTGGGTTCCACTCCCAGCCCAGCGGACATCCCACATCCAGTGCCCTGTCCCCTCACACAGCCCTGCTTACGGTCCATTTCTGCGGCACCTTTCCTCGGCCAGCACAACGCACATGGAAAATAAACAATAACATGAGTTTGGAAGTTTGCCGGCCTCTTAGGAGCCTAGGAGCTGCCACTAGCTATCAGACCCCCATAAACTAAATCTCTTTTTGTTCCCCTTTGTACAGATCTAAAGGGTGATTGATTTACTGTTGTTTTTCTAAAGGAACCCCTCAGCTCAGTGACCCATTAACAGCAGAACTAATTCACTGAGCTACGATAACAAACTTACACCCGCAAAAGCATATTCAAGGCAACCACGAGCTTTGAAATGTTTGTTTTCCTTAGGATCTCTGATAGATGAGGTGACAAAAGCAGCTGGATGAAGTTCAAAATACAGAGCAGGATCGGGTTCTCAGGGCCTGGAGAGCAGGAGAGCGGTGCTGAGGGCCCTTGCAGTCCAGGCGAGAGGGTGGAGCCCCTTGGGGTCAACTTCTTGGAGTCCTGCCTTCCCGGTGCTTCTTCCTCAGGCCTGGTCACCAGCGGGGTGAAGAGCCTAGGGCAGCGCCATCTGCAGAGCGTTCTGCAGAGAAGGACGTGTTCCGTGTCTGTGCTGCCCAGGATGCTAGCCGTTAGTGAGACCGAGGAACTGAATTCTCAATCTTAAGTAATTGTGATTCATTTCAGTTGACATAACCATGCCAGGCTGGTGGCTACCGTATTGATCGGCACAGGTCTTCACTGATGATTGAGTGTCTATGACAGGCCAGACACTGTGTGAAGCACTTCCTAGGTTTCTCTCTCAGAACTTTCCAAATAACCCGATGAGGTCAGGGCTATTATGATTGCACCCGTTTTACAGATGCAGAGAGTGTGGTTTAGGGAGCGTCGGTAGCTGGCCTGGAGTCACACAGCAAAACCAAGACAAGCTTTACTCACTGGAAGATTATCAATCAGTAATTATCTGGCTGTTTCTGATACTAGGTGAGGCTGAGAGGGTCCCAGTTGCTTAGATCAAGCTGGCACCAGGCAGGTGACGGGGAGAACCTAGTTGAGCAAAAGGAGAGTAAGGTCATATTGCCCTGGGCAGATAGGAGGGCAGCAGCCTGGACCCTCCTTCCTGAAGATAACAGGCCTAGGGGCCCACCAAGCGCCAGCCCCCCTCCGTGTCTCCCCCCCCGCCCTGCTCCCTGAGTGTGATAACCAGCCTTCTCCAACCTATGGGAGCCACTGTCTTGTCACCATCTTCCTCCGTGTCAGGGCCCTTAATGTGCCATATGCTTTGCCCAGCCGCCCCATATCTAAAGACTATATCCTGAGGAAATAAATCAGTTGATGTGTTTAAAGATTTAATCAGAAGAATGTTCTTAGCAAGGTTCATTCTCCGAATATTAATTAGGCATTTAGTATCTGCCAGGTGTAGAAGAAAAATGCTTATATGTGTGAAAAATGAGAAACAGCTTACAAGTCCGAAGGGAATGGATTGCTGAAATAAATCACAAGGCATCTGCAGGATGCAGCACTATGTGGCCAGGAGGAGAGTGGCGGAGTGGTTCAGAGGGTGAAGTTCGGGGCATGGGACCGGACTAGAATCCTCCACACACCAGCCTTTGAGCCAAGCAAGTTACTTCTCCTCTCCGAGCCTCGGTTGATTCATGGAGACCATGGAGAATAGTCACACCTTGTGTGATAGGTGTCGTCATATAGGTGACAGGCTTAGTATCATAGCTAGTGCTCAGTCCATGACAATTAGTGGGTCATTTGTGAGTTATTTAATGTAAAAACAGTCACACAGTCACAGAGTCTTATATATAGAGTAAGGTGTGTGTGTTCATGTGTGTATATGTTTATGCTGAGAAATTTGCATATTCATATCCATACACACATACATATACCTGTATACTAAATATTAATTCTGTTATCTCTAGGTAATGAGTTTAGGGTGACATTTATTTCTTTGTAACTCTTTTTTTTTTACCATATGACAAATGTTCTGCAGTGAATATCTGTAACTTTCATATTCCTTTATTATTATTACTGTCATTATCATTATTGTTAAAACAACACACAGGGAGGGACTTTTACAAAAGGCAACTCAGTTATCCATGCACTAGACCTGGGTCAGCTTGCTAAATGCCTTCCTCAGCTTTAGGGGGAAGGTGCCCTCATTATTCCCTATTATCCAGTGGGTGAAAATGAGGCTGGCAGGGGTCAGCATTTGCCCACCTTTCTGCAGGAAGTGGAGGAGCTGCGCCCAGGCCCTGCACCTCCGTGCTCGGCGGCTCCCCTCCGCAGATGGAAACCAAGTTCCTTAGCAAACTCAGGGCACTCCATCAACATCATGGGACTGGTGCAGGCTCCCAGCAGAATGCCAGCCCCAAATTCCTTTCCACTAGGGGACATGGTGGGGACAGAAGAACAAGATGTGCCGGTTGGTCCTGAGACCAGGGTAAAGTGGCTACAGATGTCAGGCGGGGAGGCACGTGGTGGTGGGAAGCTAGACATGAGCTAATTGAGACAGAGCATTTGTGATAAACAGAACCCTTTGGTACCTCACCCAGGATTCTGATAGCAGCTCCATCTCTAAGTTATGCACCCAAGACAGACTTTCTTTTCAGACTTCAGCTTTAAATTGCAGAGGCATTTCAGTTTCCCTACCAGGTTCTATTTTTCAAATTCTCTTTTTACTGACAGACATGGAAATGACTAATTTTTATGTTATAAAAGGTAAATATTCTTCTTTGGGGTTACAAGAAACAAATCAGAGTGCATAGAGAAAAACTGCATTTCTCCTCCATTCATCTTGACTAATGCTTTGTGTGCTTCTGCTCAAGGATGTGCACAACTCCATGGGGTGGGACTGATTTAAAAAGCCCTCGTTTATACATCAGAATCCGAGATTTAAAGTTACTTCCTTTATTTGGAAATGATTGATTTGTATTCTGTTCTATGCTCAGGCGTAAGTTACACAGCTGTTTCCTTATTAATAGAGAGAGGTGCTATTTCTAATATTTTTACTATGCTAAATAACGCTTTAAAAAGTCCTTTATATATATATTTCCCCATATATGTTCATGAATATGTACCTATTGAATTCCTAAATGTGATATTGCTAGGTCAAAGAGGACTGTTTTACATTCTGTTTATTTCCTGCTCTAAGTTTTCTAACACATGTATGCAGGTGCGTGCACGTGCACGTACACACACGCACACACACACAGGCACCCAATCATGTGGCAGTGAGCATGTACTAAGCATTTGTCATGCTTCTTGGTGCTCCGCTCCCCTTAACTCTTAGCTCTGTTCTGAGATCAGCACTTAACCACCCACTTTACAGATGGGGAACTGAGGCACTGAGAGCATGAATGACTTGCCCATTTGACTCCAGATTCCACATGCATTAATCTAACTATGCAGACATACTGCCTTAGCCCTCGTGCCCTTCTCCTGCCTCTAGCTTATCCAGTGGCTTTCCCACGGCTTCCAGGATGAATGGCAAAGCTCTTAGTAACAAAGAAAATTGTACCCGATGATCTGGCCCTTCTCAGACTGAGATGTTTGAACTCTGTTCTCCAGGCAGTAGGGAGCCATAGAATGTTTGGTTTCCAAGGAGAAATCAGGACATGAGAGAGATTTGCGCTAGTCATGCTTTTACAGAACTTGCTAAGGGACATCAGGCTCTTCTGCTTCCTTCAGGTTGTGAAAGACTTCCCCAGGGGCTGGAAAGGAGACTGCCACAAATTACTAAGGAGATCAGAGGCAGCTTCTGTGTATACCCTCCTTGCACCCCTGCCCTTTCCCCAAGCTGGATTCTCAAGGTCACGTCCAACTACCCAGCACCTGCCCAAATTTATTTTCTGTTTGTTTGATAAGAGAAGTGAGCTTATGCTGCAGGATTCCCAGTGGTGGGTTTATTTTAAGATCTGGCGAGCCCATGCTCCTCCGTCTGGGGCCCAGCTGCGGAAACCCTGACCAGGCGGACACCTCTGGGAAGTGGTGTTTTTGGAAACCAAGCCAAAACAGTGCCTGGCCCTGCCCATGGGGCAGCTGAATAAAGCTGTTGAAGGAAGAGACGGGAGGCAAGCTTCTTCCTTGGGGGCTGAGTCTCGGGTCACCGCCTGCAGTCCACATCTTAGAGAAGGGAGAAGAGGATTGAAGGTCATTGCATCAAAAGACATTTAAGGGATTGTATTCCAGCCCCCTCAGGCTCAGCTCCCATTTATCAAGCACCTGCAGGATGCTTTCCCCACACAAAGTCTCACTTATGCTCAGAAAGAAGTTCTCATATTGATTAGAAGCCTGACCTTGGAGTCGAGATTGCCTGGGTTCAAATCCCAGATTTGTCTGAAGCTCTGCGATCTTGAAATCATTGCTTGATTCCTCTCAGTCTCAATCCCCTCTCTGTAAAATGGAGAATATCGTAGTATTTATTCCAAAAAATAATGGGAGAGCTCAGTGCACTGTGCCTGGCTCATACATGATAAGGGCCCCCATGTCAGTACTGTGCAGAAGCTGTCATTGTCCTCATGTTCCCAGCATACACACTGTGACTCTGGTCTTGCAGCTCTGTCCCCTGCAGTCCCTCTGATTTCTTCCCCAGCCTTAGCCATGCAGTCTGATTGACCTCAAGTACGTCCTCCTTCAGAAGCCTCCCTGACTCACTCTCCTTTCCCAACATGCTGCCTCCTTCTGTTCATTGGTGGTCACATGGCTTCACAGACTTTAGCAGCCTCATAACAACCTTGACTTGTACAACTAACTGACCTTCACTTTAGCACTAGATGGGTAGCTTCTCCAGGGCAGGGGTGTTCCACGTTTCACCTTTCTGTGGCCCTTGGCACAGAGCAGAGAATATGTAATAGATGCTCAGAAGGTTTGCTTGAAGGACTCTCACTCCATCAGTGAATAGCAGAATGAATGAATGAGTGGATCAATGCATGTGAAGGAAAGAGTGAAGGCACAAGTGAGTGCGTAAAGGAACAAGTGAATGAATAAAAAAACAAGTAAATGAATTAATGAATGAAGACAGTGAATAAATGGTGAGGGAGGGAGCAGATAAGGGAATGTGTTACATACAGACCAGTGCATTTGGGGCTCAGGGAAAGCAGCTTGTCCTGCCCTTGTCCTTAGCCATGACCTCTGGGCTGTTCCCTGTCCGTCTCAGATGTGCTTTTTCAGTCCTGTCCACCCTCCCGTTCCTCCTGTTCCCCCTCACCTGTCTCCAGAAGTGATGACTACACTAATTTGTTCACAGACCATTAACTCTTGAGTGCGGGAAGAGGCCGGCTCTGAGTTGGCAAGGGCTGGGGTACTGGCTTTCAGGCCTCCAGGAGACATCATCCTTCTGCATGCCCGCCTGTGCGGCCAAGTTCTTATCTCCCCCTTTGCCCCTTGCAGACGACGACTGCACCGACTCCTTCACGCCCAATCAAGTCGCCAGAATGCACTGCTACCTGGACCTGGTGTACCAGGGCTGGCAGTCCTCCAAGAAGCCGGCGCCGGTCGCCCTGGCTCCCCAGATTGTGGGCCACACGACTGACTCCGTGACGCTGGAGTGGTTTCCACCCATCGATGGCCACTTCTTTGAAAGGTGAGCATGGCCTGTGAAGTGTTGATTCCGCTTGCTCTCTCCTGCCAAGAAGAGGGAAACTTGGAAGGGAAGCGAAACTGGGAGGGAGCTTTGGCTGTGTTCTTTGTCTTTGCCCTCGGTCCGCGGGTGCCCCGGCACCTAACACAGTGACTGGTCCATAGAGGCACAAGATACATTTGAGGGTCAAGGAATAAATGAATGATGGCTAATATAAATTAATAAATAATAAAACATATTTTACATGAATGGAGTGAATGTTTAGCTTTATTTTAGCATTAAAAACCTGAAACCTTTATTAGAATCGCCTCTGGGATAGAGGTGCTGGTCTCATCTCCAAGAGCTCAGGACTTGAAATTAGCAAACACCTTTGTAGACATGTTATATGTGAAGGTGTGTATAAGTTTATGTGTATATTCATACATTATATGTGAATACACATGCATATGTATAATGTAGATAGACATGTGCATATATCTCTACCTAGTATGCAATCTTAGACTGTGAGCAGTGTTTCTTTGTAGAATGAAAGGTAGAATTGTTGGGAGACCAGGAATGATAAGCTGAGGCACAGAATACCTCGTGTTGCTCCCCTGTCTTTCATTTTCTAGCTGTGTGGCCTTGGGCAAGTCACTCTCCCTCCCTGCGCCGTATTCTGCTCCCCTGAAAAGTGGGTCTCATGAGGCCTCAGTGCCTGAGGTGGAGACCCTCTCTCAGAGTGCCTTTCAGCATTGAGACCCACTGAGAACCTCTGGCTTCAGGAGCCCAGATTTTAGAGGGTCATGAAAACAGGCTACGATGTTCACATGTTGACATCTGTTTTGGAACTTAGCTATAATTTAGGACAGATTAGTATATCACAGCTCACCCCCGCCCCCTAGATGATCTTGGGGATGTTTAGCCAATTATGATGATAGCCTGGATGATGTGGGAAACAATAACCAGCTAATCATTAATTCCTATTACTCTGTGGTTGTAGTGACCTATCCAGTGCTTACTCTGTGTCAGATTCTGTACTGAATTCTTTGTATACAGTGTCTCATTCTATCTTCCCAGCCACTCTGTAAAAGAGAGATCATCTTCCCTATCTGCCAGGCAAGAAGGGAACTGGAGCTCAAAGAGGCTGGGAGATTTGACCAGAAGCCCATAGAAGGTGGTAGGAGTTGGAGTCCAGCTCCCATTTGACAGTGCCTGGTCTCAAACTCCCATGTGTGTTAATTAAATCCTTACAAAGCCCAAATTATAAAGGAGGTAGGTGTGTGTGTGTGCGTGTGTGTGTGTGTGTGTGTGTGCATTGTGTGTGTATGTATATAAAAAATATATTAGATCATGGCACCACATTAAATTGGGGCTCTAATTTTCCATCCTGTCATCAGTCCCTGAATCTAGATCCTTCATTCAGCAGCGGGGGGGATGTGACCACAGGGGAGGAAAGGCACCCCCTATCCTCTGCAGAAACCCCTCCCCCTCCCCCTGCCACCCTCACTGGGAGCTCAGTGCTGGGTTTGGGAAACCTCATGTGACACTTCAGAGCAGGCTTTCCAGCAGCCCATGGATTTATTTATTTTTTCTGTGGCAATGAGAAGTATCAGGCTTTTGGTCCAGCCTTGGCCTCACTTCCACTTAAAAATGGAAGTTTTGTAAATGAAGCTTCCTGTGTATGTATTCAATTTGTATTTCATAAAGCAGTTATTGTCCATTAAATAAATACCATCTGATTGTTGGAAACCTATTGGAGGGTTAATTGTTGTGTAATGAGATATGGCTCTATTTCACAGTGCCCTCCGCTTCAATCAATATGTTTTTAATAACCAATAGTCAGTTGGTACTTGAGGCTCATACAATAGCTATTCTGTTCAGTCTAAGATTTCATAACGGAGTTATCATATGTTAAATTAAAACTGACATTTTAGAAACATGTCTAATTAGGGTTAACAGCTACGTAGATCATAGTCTATGGCTGAAGGAAGTCAGTCCACAGTTCAATAAATTGTCGTAAAGAAATGGAACTATGTATGTCACTTTCTCATACACACAGTTTATATTCCAAAAATTGGCTTAGTTTGAAATACACAGTCTTTGATGTCAGGTTGTGTGTGTTCCGTCCCAGCCTCACCACTCTAGTCTGTGGGCCCTTGGGCAAGCGATCGTACCTCTCAGATTCTCTCTGGCCCTCTGATTTTCCATAAAAAGGTGCTAATCATGCCCTCTTCACCTGGCATTTTGGGGGAATTTCAACAAGATGACCTCTGTGATATGCCCAGCACACATATTCTATGTTCAACAAATAGCAGCTCTCACATTGTACAAAGTTTTTCAGAGCTGCTTAGCTACTTGAAATGTTCTTTCCCTGCACCATCTCTGGTGTTTTCCACTACATCCATCAATGCCAACCTCTCGCCCCTGGCCATCCTCATGTCTTCCTGCTGTTCCTCACATCTGTGGTCTCAGAGAATACAAGTGCTTTCCTTAAAACAACATGTTCAGATCCTCCCACAGCCTGTGTCCTCACACATGGGCAACTGAATAAATAATTCAAGGCCACCCCCCAGCTTTCCTAACTTCTTTATTTCTATCTGTCTTGCAAACATGTGTTGACTGGCTGGTTTCAGTTATCTGAACAATTGGCTGTGACATATTAGGAAAAGGACTGAACTGGGAACCAGGAGATCGGGGTCTGAAGGCTTTGGGATCTTATCCATGCCTTCTTCCTCAGCCTGTGTTCCAATCTTGAAGCCGAAGGCTACTAGCCTTTCTCACCAGCATTCTTCTCCCAAATCCTAGAACACAGACAATCACTTGAGTGACTATTTTCTCAAATCTCCCAAGGATGTTGCATGGCTCCTACCATTCTAGATGCACAAGAGAGAAGTTACTCCATTATGTACAGTGGATGCCTGAGTGAATCACTGTCCAAATAGGACTTTATACAGTAATGGAAATACTCTATAACCTGCCCTGTCGATATGGTAGCCATTAGCCAACTATGACCATGGAGCACTTGAAATGTGATGGCAGGTGGGATAGAGGAACTGGGTTTCTAAATTTGTTAAATTTTAATTGGTTCAAATGTAAATAGCCACATGTAGCCAGTGGCTGCCATACTGGACAGCATAAACTTGGAGCTTAAGCACTGACTCTCAAGGTACCCAGATATGAAAGGGGATCTCTTTCAGCATTAGTGTCCTATATTTCTATGATTTTAGTGTGTGTGTGTGCGTGTGTATCTGTAGACACAGATATATGAAAATCAAATAAATGCCAAAGGTAAGAAACACGCATATACACTCCCTGGATGAATAGGACACTGCCTGATTTTGGTAAAGGCCACAAAAACTCTATGGCTTTCCAAGCTATGGCCTTAGGATGATTACTTTGTACTCATGAACCTTAGTTTCCTAATCTGTAAAATGGGAACATTACATCTAATATCCTGATCCTTCAGTGGCCAGTGTCTAGGACTTGTACAGCACTAGCCATCAGATGCTGTTCAATGACATCCATTGAATGTCTAGGTTAAACAATGAATGAACATGTGAATCGATGGTTGAATATGAAGGAATATACTTCGTGGAGCTCTGTGAAAACAAGGCACATTGCTGTCGGGTATATGATGGTTTATTCATCATCGAAGTATTTATTGGAAACCTAGGATGTGCCAAAAACTCAATGAAGTGTAGGTGACTATATAAATATAATCCAGAAAAAAAGGAAGAAACAGAAAGAAAGACTCATTGTCCATTTAGGTCAGTGTGGTACCTGATTCCATCCCGGGACATTTGTAATCTCATTGTCATCAGAGGCATTCATGTGACGCAGAGCTGCTCTGCATGGACTGTGGTCACTGTAACGGAACTCTGCCCACTCCATAGTGGTGCTGAGCAAGTCTCTCTCTCTTCAGTCCTCATTCGTTTCCTATAAGTTTATTTGTATAATTGTTATTATTGCTAGTCCACATTCAGAATATATAGAAAATTCAGAAAACCAGAAGGAATAAAAATAGGGGATCATCCTGTGTTCCACCACCTGGAAATTACTTCCAGTAATATCTTGCCATGTTAAGGTTATTTGAACATTGAAATGCTGGCTATAAATTCAGTTTTGAATATGACTTCAGTTGGCTGTAGATTCAGCTTGGAATATGCCTTTTTCACTTAACATTATAGTTTACATTTTCCATGAAATTTCATCATCTTTATAAATATTTTTGGAATAACTACTTACCATTTCATTGAGCAAATTAACCTTAGGTTATTTAATCATTTTCCTATCTCTGAATATTTAGTGTGCTTTTAAACTTCCTATATGACTGTATAAAAATATAACCTATATGTATGGTTTTATATTTTCAATGATGAAGCTGAGGATGTAAATTCTGAAATTTGAAGAACTAGGCTACGTTAGGCAACATGTCTGAATGACTAGTATTTACCCATCCACCCATCTATCCATCCATCCACCCAACTACACTTGTTGACCATTATATAAACAGATAAGCAGGGGCATGGCTTGCTCAGATTTAGGTTTGGGGGTGAGCTCCCTGGCATCCGTGGGGAGGAGGAATGGGGAGCACCAGCAAACTGGCATCCACAGCACGCTCTTCTATACCATGTGAGCTCAGAAGCTACAGAGCTTCCCTGTGAAGGGAAACCCTAAGGCTCCCCGATTGTGTTCTTGCAGGAAGCCAAAGGATGGACCTTCTAGGAATGACGAAAGAGCTATTGGCAGGATCATTACATTTTGAGAAATAATGGGTCGGGCTGGCACATTTCTTGGCATCTTTCTTCCCTTTCCAGTTCCTTTGCAGTGGTCGCTCAGATTTGTGGAGTTTTGGGTCCACCCTAGTACATGAGGGCTCATCTCTCTCCCCTCCTGGCAACTGCCTCTGAAACATTTGCCAAGTCTGGAGAACAAGTAGGATCCCAGAGGCTGTTGTGGCTAAAGGGAATTTGGATCCAGATACAAGACAGTAGACAGTAGGGGAAGCCATCATCATATTCCACTTCTGGGGCTGGTCCTTCTGAGGGATTGGCTTGCCCCTTGGAAAGCTGCTAAAAGGAATGAGATGGCATGGCAAGGAAACTGCTTGTGAGTGTTTAACCAAGGGGTGACTCATCCATTCCCAGAATGTCAGGGCTGGAAGGTTCTCTGGTTATCTTCTAGTTCAGCCCACTCATTTTTCAGACGGAGGAGCTAAACCATGCCTTCTTCCTATTTAATATCTGGGACACAGGATGGTGCCTGGCACATGGTAGGTACCTGATAAATATTGGTAAGAGGATAAAATTTGAAGTCAAATGGGGCAACCAATTTTCTCACAACTACACATCAGGTTCTCAGTGGAGGTTTGGATGGCTGATGGAATTATGACTCTGCAGATCGTGAGTGTGTCTTTGGCCTGTTGAATCTGTGCTGCTTGAAGTTAAAGAAGTGTATCTATCATCAGAATGGAAACCACTTAGGCCCCTACAAGGTCCTTGTGGAGCAATAGGGAGGAATTTCAGTTACAGTCATATCCTGGAAGCTTTGGCATACATAGTCAGGAAAGGGGGTAACGTAGAATAGTTGTGTCCTCCATTGCCTTTGGCCTAGGGGAGTCAGGGGCTTATTCAACTGTTCCTAAGTCAGTGCGTTTTCCTTCTCTCCTTGGCCTCCTAGAGAATTGGGATCAGCATGTGACCTTTGCCTGGAAGGGAGGATCCTGGTGCAGTATGCCTTCAACGCCTCCTCCCCGATGCCCTGTGGCCCATCCGGACACTGGAGTCCCCGGGAAGCAGAAGGTGAGCCAGCCTGGAAGCTCACTGACAGGTTGGGTGTGAGAAGAACAACTCTTTTGGTCCATCTGGAGTGTTATGATTCCAATGATCTTTTCTACATACCATCTCCTTAGATCTTAGATTGCCCTGCAAGGCCAGTATTTTTAAGTTGTAACATGTTTGTCCTTTGTCCCAGCTTGATTGAGATGTAATTGACATAAAACATTGTGTAAGTTTCAGGTGTACGTCGTGATTTGATACATGTATATTACAAAGTGATCACCGCAATAAGGTTGGTTACTGCATGCATCACCTCACCTACTTTACCTTTTATGGTGCCAGAACATTGAAGAGCTACTCTCAACAACAGTAGAGTATCGCTAACTGTAGTCACCATGCTGCAGATGAGAACCTCAGAACCTGTTCATTTTCCAACTGGAAGTTCATACCCTTTGCCCAACATGAAGGCCAATGTACATGCCTTCATTTAGCACATGTCCTTTGAGTATCTGCCTTGCCCTACGTATATCATCCTACTTTACATATAAGGAAACAAAGGCACTGAGATATTAAATAAGTGCCAAGGCCACACACCTGACAAAGACATACATGTATGCATCTATATTTATCTCCAGACTCTGACAGGCTGCAGGTACACAGAGAAGGTCCCCTGAGGATCAATACACATGTGGGGGCTTCAAGACATCAGTATCTTTGATTCTTTCTTACTTCTTTCTGGGAATATCCAGGGCATTATCACATGTGTCATGACTTTTCCTTTCAGTTTCCCCTTTTTGGGATCCATTGATCTGCAAGACCCTTGAGGGCAGCATCTCAAGGTTGCCCTGTTATGGGCTCCACCCATGACCAGACCCTTCCCTGCTTAGGGGGAGTCTCCCAAGCCTCCCAGTGGCTAGTGATCTCTATGTTCCCATACAGTATCCTTCGCTGCCAGGTTAGCTTGGTTTTCCGTAAAAATTAAGAGTGCCTTTTGCTCAATGTTTTGTTACACTGTGTCTCTGAAGCAAGGCTGCTTGGAACTGAGACTCTGGGACTATTGTCTATTCCATTTCCTTGTGCTGTATCTGTTGCCTAGGGCTCAGCTCTAGTTGCTTAAGCCAGGCTGAGAGACAGGGACCCACTATTCTCTTCTCAGGCAGTGCCTCGGCCTCCCTCACAGACTTACACTGAGAACACCCCCACACCCAGTCCCGTTGCTCCATGCAGGTCAGCTCAGGCCAGCAGTCCCTGGGTGGGGACACCCATCCCTCAGAGGGAGTGGAATCTGGTTCCTCATTGAGGTTCAGTGAGAACGCCTCTGTCTTCCTCTATATTTTTAGAAAGAAGGTTGAACAGAAAAAGGCAGAGGGATCAGAGAGGCAAGTGAAGGAGAAAAATGACAACACTACACTTAATCTTCCGAAGTAGCTTAAAATAAAAACGAGAGTTGAACTCGGGAACTCTAAACAAGCCCATCTGGAATGTGAAGCGAAAGGGATTCTGGAGAAACCCTCAGCTCACCCTTGGGGAGTCACAGGCCCTCAGGCGTGGAAGGGATGCTCAGGGGTCACCCAGCGGGGTTCTCACCTGGTACAGGAAGCCCCGGCGCCCTCCCTCACGGAGGCTGTCCTCACACCAGGCTGTCCTTGCACCAGTATTTCTTGGCCTTCCTGTTCTAGCTCCATTGGTTAGAAAGTCCTTCCTGAAATGGTCAGTCGGGACATTTCCCCCCAAACCTAAGCCATGTTGGGTTCTCACAGGAGAAAGTGTATGTCTCTGGCCAGACAGCACTTTCTGTGCCCACAGAGAGTAAACCAGTCTCATCTATAACCATGGCAGGGCCTGTATGGCAGGCTCTGGGCGAGCACGTGGGCAAGGCTGAGCCAACCGTAATAGCGGAGAGTCAGAGAAGTAGATGGACGATCACCATCCGGGGTGATGAGACCTGTGCTAATAGAAGTAGGGAGCACTCGGGGGGCAGGAAAAAGGGGAGCTTCCCCAGAACCGGAGACTCAGGCTTCCTGGGAAATGTCACCATACCAGCAAGCAAGATGCATTGGAGAACGTGAAAGACATTTGGTATCCTTGAATCCATGGTTTCCACCTGGGATCTGAAGGCTTAGGTCATTAGGGTTCCTCAAAGTCTACAATGATTTTCATAATAATACATGACATGGTTTACCTTTTTCACTCTCACTCTCTCCTGAGAGTGTCGTCGTAGCGCTTCCCGGCAGCTCCGTGGAATGTGATGTTATTACTGCTCTGATAGCCCGTGGAACACATGCTTGTGTGTTCTTTAAAGTTTCTCAGCTTTAATTGATGGTACAGTAACTGCTAACGGACATGACCCACCTGAATGAGAGCTCCGCAGTGAGGCTAGAAGAGCTTAAATGGATTTAAAACGCAGAGAGCAAGGTGTGGAGTAGGGAGAGGTGGGGCTGGGTGAGGTATATACCGACCGGACGAGGAGTGGTTCCGGTTTTTGCCAAGGGCAGGAAGGAGACACCACGTGCCTTGGCAAGGGTTTGGGATCCAGTGAGATGCACATGTTATAAAGATTGCTGGGTTCCTCTAGAGCAGAGAGTGGGGTCCTGGGGAGCATGCTGGAGGAAAGGGAACGGCCCATGGGTGGTGCAGGAATCCAGGAGAAGTGCGGTGGTAGCCGGATGAGGTCGGTGGCAGGGAGAATGCAGAGAGGTCAGTGAGAGATGTTTGGGAGGTAGGGTCAGCAAGACTCTTTCCTGCCACTTCTTTGGCTAAAATCATCTTGATTTGTTCTACCATTTGTGTGAATGAAATAATTTCCAGACATCCCCACACACCTCCATATAGCCCAACTGTTGATTGGTTCCGGCTGTTCCTGGTTTGTCTCTGACCCTCTTAAAGCCTGACATGCAGAAATGGGTTCACTGGAAACGCCGAGCCCCCTAGTTCCCTGAGCTGACTCCGGCCTGCAAGGAACCCCAGCAGTCCCGGGTTTCCTTCAGGATACGTAAATCCAGTGCAGGTAGGCCAGGGAAAGACACTGTGCTTTTTTTAGAGCATCCCATCACAGGCTCTGTGATCCTTTGGCTCAGACTCTTTTTAATATCCTTGAAGAAATAAACTTTTCCATGAGCCAAACTCTGTAATTTATTTCTCAATTCATTTTCATCCTATTTATCTTTGCGTGTTTAAGTTTGTGGACTTCCCAAACTAACAGAAAACTCTGAAACCCATGAGCGATGCCAGCCGTATCTTTGGGATTGGGGAAAGAGCAGGGGGTCAGGGTGGAGCGGGGTAAAGAGGACTGCCCTTGGCTCCAACCTGTCCATCAACGTGCTCTGTGCCCGTGAGTGAGCCACGGAGCTTCTTTGAAGATAGCGTCCTATCCACAGAATGAAAGCCCTTTCCAGCTCCAACATTCCAAGCAGTTGTAATTCATTTATTTTAAATCCATATGAGCAAGACAGAAGGTTCTTCATTTAAACATAGTTATTGAATATCTAACATGTGTTATCAACTCCATTCTTTGAACTTCAGGTAAATACAGTCACAGGAATTCTTGCCTTTGCCCACAGAAAGTGGTTATAGTCAAAAGAAACCCCATTTTCCTATCTCTTTAGCAAAAACTATATTTCATAGATAAATTTCTTCTGAGGTATTCAAGACCACACTACATTTGTAGCCCAGGAGTTAACTAGCCAGATCTGACGGCCTGAAATCCCATTAAGATCACTTACGCAAGCGTATAATATATTACAAGCCTTGGGTTTTCTATGAGAGATTAACACATGGCACTGTTTTCTTTTCTTTTTATTTGCATGAGTCTTTCCCCCTTTTTTCTGCCTAGAATATTTCAGGTGCACTGAAGTATTCATCTGGAAAAAACTTGGCTCCAAGTTTTTATAACCATATTTGTGTCAACAGCTGCAGTGTATATGCACATAAATATAGAATAGATGTCGGTATAGATCTTCATAAGTGTAAATTTAAATCAGCATAACTATGTATAAATATAATTTACACACATATTTGGCCTCACTCCTAGTGGCCAGCTTATATAAAAATGTGACTTTTTATTTAGTCACCATATACATAAAAGGCTATATATTAATAATGAAGTAACGGTACCTTTGTGCTTTTCTCCCTCCCCCTCCCCCTTTCCCTCTCTCCCTCTATTCCTCCCTCCCTCCTGTCCTTTCTTCATTCCTTAGTTTCTTTCCTTGTCTCAGCTTTTCTCCCTGCCTCAACACCATACATGCAATCAACTTTCCCATCTGTGTGCATTTTTCTCCTTAGGACTCAGGTTTTTCCTCATCTGCTGTGATGTTCTCTTTCTCCAAGGCACAGCTATGCATTCATTGCTGCTTTAGTACAGATGTCTGCTAACTGACCACTAGACTGGAAGCTCCATGAGGGCAGAGACCATGTCTTTAGAAACCTGCTTTCTCTGGGACTAGCCAACCCTGACACAAACCAGGCTCTCAACAATTAATCTTTGAATACATGGATGGATGGATGGGTGGCTGGATAGATGGATGAATGGATGGATAGATGGGTGCATGGATAGATGGATGGATGTGTGAATGGATGGGTAAACGCGTGGATGGATGGGTGAAAAATGGATAAATAGTATCTATCTCTAAAAAGTGGTTTTCCCAAAAGACAACTTTCATTTGTTTGATTAAAATCCTTCAGTAGCTCCCATCTCTCTCAATATGAAGTCCATTCCCTTAAAGTGGCATGTGAGACCCTTCGTCACCTGGATTCTACTTACTTTGCCAGCCTGACCACTTGCTGCTCTCCTGTTGCTCTCAAAACCATAGTCATCTGGACGCACATTCTCTATCCACTGTTCTCTTGGTTTGGAATGCTGCCCCATCTTGAGCTTTTCCTTGTTAATTCCTCCTTACTTGTGAGAACTGAGCTAAT